GTATTTTTTTAATCACATTTTTTACGTGACCTTGATTTACCTATAAAAGGCCGCTGTAGCTGCTTGGTTAGAGTTGGGTAATACCACTCCATAGGCCCAGGTATCGATCAATGTCAAAGAAACATTCAAAAAAAAAATTTCAAAAAGGCTGTCGCGCCTCGGCAGGCTATGACAAACCTCCGAGTGTATGTCTGCGTTAAAAAAAAAAAATTTCATAAAATCCACTTGCCGTTCGGAGGCGGCGTAAAACTGTAGTTCCTTCCATTTGTGTAACAATATCAAGACGCACACGGCAAATTGGAGGAGAAGCTCGGCCAAACACTTAGCAAAAAGTGTAAGTACCAAAGTTGCTTTGCAAGCAACAACAAAATACCAAGACAATGGCCTAAATTTTGGCATTCGACTTTTCTATTAGGCGATCAGTCATTTTTGGTAACCCTATTATTAGCTACCAGCTTTTTGAGTTGAACAAAAGCATTATCGAAATCTCTCACAGCGGCAGCAAGCTCACTACTACATACTTGTGTATACTAAAATTTTTTTTGGTGGCATTTAATAAAATAAAGATATACTGTTTGTGAGATGTTGTCGCAGTTCAAGAGCAGTCGCACAGTGGTTCAAAATTGGCATTCTGTGTTCACAATTTACTGAAACCTTCATTTTTCACTTAATTGGTTTTTTAATTAATTAATTTTTTTTAATGAAAGCTAATAAAATTTTAAAGAGACTAGTTGAGCCCGAATTTTGAATTTCTGTTTGTTTGTATTAAATTTTTTAGTGCAAAGTACAGAAAAAGTTGCAATTTTGAAGAAAATCGTTTCTCCTATTCCAGTTAATAAATGCTACACAATAAAAACTAATTGAAAACAAATGTGGGGTTCCGCCAAAACGACAAAAATTTTACCCAAACAAATTTTAAATGTTATGTTGACCAAAATAAATATTTTCTTTTTGGTTTTAAAAAAATTGTTGGGGTATGCAGTTGTATAGATCATTAAATTTTAGTATAATAAAGTGCAAGTTGCAAGTGGCTGAGAGTTCGCGTTGGTTTTTAATAATATGACAAACCCTCTTATGTCCCATTTGGCACGCAGTTGTGCTCGAAATGTAAGCGAAAAAACTTATCCAAAACCAACGCGACCTCTTAGCCACTTATAAATTGCACTTTTTACTGAATACCCAACTTTTTTTCAGAAACTCAAAAAAAAAATTCATTTTAGTGAAAATTTTTTCTATAGCATTTCAGATTTTTCTTATAATACAATCCAACAAAAATTAAAAAAAAAAAATTGGATGAATTGGTGTCCTGCAAATTTTTAATTAGCTTTCATTAAAAAAATTCAATTGAAAGAAAAATTAAGGCTCCAGTGAATTGTGAACACAAAATGCCACTTTTGAACCACTGTGAGTCGGTGGCTGAAAGATTAAAAAACCGCTGCAACGTATTTAAATACAGCTCTACGCCTTTCTTCGTCCCAGTTGCTTTTAATCAGTAGTATGTGGTGTTCCATTTCCATACACCATTATTATTCCCGCTATAATTTTTTTTGCGAGTAATTTTCTGTGGCTTTTGCAGTCAGTAATGTCCTCGCTTTCGATTTTTAATTGTTTATCACTAAAAATTGTTTGTAATATAAACATATTTATGTACATATTTTTACGACGATGAATATTGTACATTGGAACGTAACAGAAAAAAATTCACCGTACACTATCGTATCCAAAGTATTTTTACAAGGCAATTTCAAAAAAAAGTTGACCTTTTTACAGTTTTTGTCATATCTTCAGCATATATAGTCGTCTTTTACAGTAGTATACATATACATGCATATTTTTGAATGTTTTTGTCTCGAGGAGAATTTTTTGTTTTTGTGTTCCAAAGTTCATTCATCTCAAGTACCTGATCTCAATTTTTATCACCCCAGCGTACCGCCCTAATGTCACTAAATTAATGCTCGCCGAAATTTATTAAAATTTTGCTAAGGAAATATTTCGATTATACCAATAAAAATATTTAAAAAAAATTGCATTGCCGAATATACTTATGTAGGTGTCACCGAAAAATATATATAGAATACGTCAAAAAAAAAATTTCGAAATTGCCTGCAAAAATACTTTACACTCGAAGGTGTACGGCGAACTTTTTTTTGCTTGCAAATTGCTGCGGGTCAAATGTACATTCATATATGAGTGAGGTGTTTTTATGCTTTTGTTATTCACCTTCAACTTTTTCTGTCGAATTTTTCTTTCTTAACTATTCTAAATAAGCTTATTAGCACATCATAAGTATTGAAATATTGCATATACTTTCATACATGCCACTGTATGTACTTACAGTGACTCAAACAAATGACCACGTGTTGATTTTCTTCAAATATTCGTAATGTTTTTCAGGATAAATTTTTTTTGCTATTTTTTACATAAAAATATCGTCTAAGCTTTAACCAAAACCGAGTATATCACAATTTCAAACTTTATACAAAATTTAGGAAAATTCAACAAATTTTCATCAAAATTTCATTTTTTTATTCTGAATTTTTAGAAAATTTTTGGGTATGCAATTTTAGGGCCCATACAATTTTAGTCTAATGAAGTGCAAGCTTCGCGTTGATTTTAGAGAATTTTTTTTTGGAGGCTACTATTTCGGGTTTTTTAATATAACAAGCGCAATTTACAAAAACTTGCGTTGGTATTTTGAAATTTTGGTGCTGACGGTATCCCGCGTTTTAGTTCATAAGAAATTCATACTTATATGAAAAAAGTGCGAAAATCCGTCAACAAAAAAAGTTGTCAAAAATCAACGCGACTTTTTAACCGTTTAAAACTTGCCACTCATTGGTCTAAAATTGTGTGGGCCAAAAAACTGCATACCCAAAAATTTTCGAAAAATTCAAAATAAAAAGTTGAAGTTTTTATGAAAATTAGTTGAATTTTCCTAAATTTAGTATAAAGTTTGAAACTGTGGTTTACACGGCTTAGACGATATCTTTATATAAAAATAACAAAAAAATAAAAAATTATCTCGAAAAACATACGAACATTTGAAGAAAATTAACACGTGGTCATTTGTCTGAGTCACTGTATATTCATGTACATAGGTGTGTATCTAATTGCAAATAATGAAATCTAAAAAAAAAACATTTTCTTTCTTGAAAATAATCAAATTAACTGTTAAAGCTCATATTTCACGTTGTTTTTTTTCCTTATTTACAAGAAACGCGAATTTTTACAAAAAACGCATACTTAAATATTTGACTACAAACATCGTTCATATTTCTTTAGCTTATATACTGGATTCAATATTTCTATGAACGTAATATCACTTACAAGTAATCATATTAGAAATATGTAAATAAACAAATGACGAAGCCATGAGCTCATATCGCATTGTAAATACATAAATGACTAACATAGAAATGTAGTCATACATATGTATGGATGTATGCTTTTTCTAGATATGCGCTTGGAAAAATAAATTTGTATGTAAATTAGACTGGTTCAAAAAATCGACGTATCTTTTCTTCGAAATCCTCTGGGAAATACTTACTTTAATCTTGAGTAACTTTTGGATGAGTGGGCTTATGGAAAAATCATAAGAGAGTTTTTTAAAGCCTTTAATTTCCTGCAAAAATTTATCATTCTTATCGAGTAATGAAATTTATATGGAAAATAGAAATTCGCGATGCGCCACCTATAGATCTTAATATTAAGCGCTGCGCTATTGACAGTTGTCTTATTTCCCTGTCCCGAAATTATGTCACACAGGAGTTTGAAAAAAAAGGATAGTCCATTTTATTGAACCAGTCTACGGTATATACATGCATACATAAGTATGACTATTTAAATGATAAGAATCCATGAACAAAATTTTCAAAATCTCGTTAGAATTTTGCTTTCAATAACTATTGAAGAATTAAAATAAAAATGTGTACATACATACACGCATAATAAATACATATCGCACATTTACTGCAAAAGTGTCCTAATCAAAAAAAAAATATTAAATATTTGGTCAAGTATGTATGCTGCAATGACCGCTACCTGTTCTTCTATCAGTACTTACTAGGACAAAAGATACATTAATTTTTACTTTGTGAGTATACCTATGTATGTATGTACATTCAAAACTTTAATTGTTTGTGTGGTTTTTATTTTTTTAATGTATGAATTGCTTCGTCCCAGAGACCCAAAATAATATTATTAAAGGAAATTATTTTTCGTCTTTGTATAATAATTATTTACGAGAAATATCTTTTTCGTCACGCGGGACGATTGTTTTCAGTTGGAAATTATTTTCGTCTTCTTATAACAATTATATGGGACTTTTAATTTTCTCGTCTCTCGGGACGTTTATTTCAAGACGGAAATGATTTGCGTCTCTTCATAATAATTATATGGGACTTTTATTTTTCTCGTCAAGACGAAAATGATTTACGTCCCACATTTTCTCTTAATACTATTGGTACATGTAAAGCCGATTTCACGAAATTAAGCGCAAATGACTCAGAGCTCGATTATTTGAATTTGAGTTTCTAACATCTGGCAACACTTGTCAGAAAACTAAAACTACGTTAAAGTAAAGCCCTTCAATTTGACACTCGAAAATCGAGTGACCGAAACAGATTTGATGACTAAACAATCGTGGTGTTAAATATTACTCGTTAAATCTCCGAACTCAATTAAGAAGTCTCATTTCAATAAAACTCCCATATAATTATTATGAAAATACGTAAATCATTTCCGTCTTAAAATAAACGTCCCGCGAGACGAAAAAATAAAAGTCGCATATAATTATTAGGGGAAGATGAAAAAGTTTTTAGTCTAACGATTATCGTCTCAGGTGACGAAAACAATTTTTCCATTGTTTAGTAATATTTATACATCAATATTTAAAACTATTTCTTATAATCGCTATGGCGTCCGCTTCGTCCAAACCAAATCATCAATATAGTATGCATTTTGCCATGATATCTTATAAATTAAATTTCTTTCTTTTACAGTGCCTCCAATTCATGAAAAATAACTTCAAACTCCGCTGGCAACACCCTTTGTACTATACTCACCATGCTCAGCAGTTCGTAAGCTGCCAATTAGGCAACATTTCAACATACCAGATGTCAAATTGAATTACGAAAGGTAAACAAAAGGAAAAACGAAAACTTTGCAAGATTGTGAAAATGGTTATCAGCAGACCGCAGGACACTGAACGGGCTGAGTGATTGCAAGTCAAATGCTAAGCCACGACAGCAGAGGACCTGTGTGGCTGTGTGGTGAATTAGAGCGCACTAATTTGACAGCAAGTGGTAGAAAAATAAGTGAGAGAGTGCCAGTATTTTTTAAGAGAGGATAGAGTGAGCGCAACTGCAGCAAGGCTCGCTACTGCTGACTTCTGCTGCCTGACAAGCCTGGCAAACTACCAGTCATAGACAGAAGTGAGCAGCACAGCGTAGGTAGCTGTCCAACGAACATAAAAGCGGATGAAAATTTCGAACGATGTGACGCGAAAAAAAATCATTACTTTATAAAGTGTTTGCAAAAAGAAAGAAATTATCAAAATTTAAAGTGAATTGGAAATTTGTGAACGAAAAAGTTGAACGCAATGAAAAAATCTATGCAGAACGCAAATAACTGGCTGCGCTAAGCGTTGTTGGCGACGTCGCAAGGAAAAAAAATTTTTGGGTGTGAAAACGAAAGTGAAAATTTAGCACAGAAACAAGAAACGAGTGCGCGCGTACGAGGTGGAGACGGCGAAAGCGTCAGTGCGGTTGGCGGTGAGTCCTCCCCTGTGACGACGGTAGGCGATAGTAGCAAGGAGCGCACAGTGACGCTAACAGCGCGGCGTGGAACGTATGGAACGTATCGCAAGCGTTGTTTAGCTAGCAGCAAGGATGCTGTGCAGCGCAAACGGCAGCTAAGAAGACCTGAACAACAACAACAACAACAGAGAAAACTAGGAAAATGTGCGCAGCGTTGACGTTGACGCTGACTGCGACACTCACTGAGCCCCAACAACCGTGTTAGATTTGCATGTATGTATGTGCAGAGGAACTTGGCTCAAAAAATATACATACATATATACATCACATAAACACTTTCACGAAAATCAAACCGACAAAAAGTCTTGACGACAACATACTTCAAATTCCTCACATATTTACATTCGTGCTGTACGTACGCAGGTGCGTGCGTTCGTGTGCGCCGAGATTTTGTGTGTCACGTGAATAGCTTTGCAGCGCCTAAATTTATCCTATAAATAGTTTACGTGCACCCAAAGACCAAAAAAAAAACTCCCAAAAGTACGTATGTAGGGGCGAACGCCGTTTAGCGCCTGTAAATATGCTACATTTGGCAATTTGGTGTGAAAGCAAAGCCAAAGCGAATGCAAAACAGCTGAGTGGCGGAGCCAACGACGGCAGGTTAACGCCTAAAAGTGTGCTAAACTAAGGGCAGACGCTGACTGTGTGTGTGTATATGTATATGCGTGCAAACGGCCAAAAGTATGCAATGTATTATGTAAAACAGAAAGTGAAGAAATTTTGGGCAAGGCAAGCAGACGACGCGAAGGCTGTGACTTTTTAAAAATTCGAGTGCGAAAATATTAAAAAAATAATATTTTCATTAAACATAGAAATTTGGAAAATTTTCTAGCGCGTTAAAGTATGCTACGCTTTAGATAGGTATGAAAATTTGCGCAACACATAGAAGAGAATATTTTAGTGCAGTAAAAGTTTTGTCTGAAGTTGAGCAGCTGATACTGTAATGCCCCTAAAAGTATGTTACATTTCTTAGAAGCTGTGGAAAGCGCAAAATAAGCAAAAACAACTGTGAAGAGCGCGATTAAATATATTAGCAATAGCTGTTGAAAAAGTGCTGAACTAAAAAAATATTTAAAGCAGCGATGTATTGAAATTGAATCAACATCGCCTAAAAAGGTGCAGCACTCAGCGCAGTAGTGTGAAAAATTCTGCGCCATAAGGCAAAATTTTTGCCCAAAAATGTGCAAAAATTCACTTAAACTTGCAACATAACGAATTGCTTGTAACAAAAGAAGCTAAAAAACAGTGTATACACATACCCACACGCTTTAGCGCCCAATAGTCTGCTACGATTTAAGCAGCAGCCGCAGCAGCAGCAAGTAAAAATAAAGCAAGAGAGCGTGTAAAAATGCTAGCCAAAATATAAATTGTGTTAAAAAAGTCATAAATAACGCAATAGCACGTAGCACGTTTTTCAACACACACGCACACACACTCAAATACGAAGAAAAAAACCCATATCGTATACACCACATGCGTTCCAACTGTCCATACTTCGCCTGCGCACTCTCTTGTCACTCTAATTTCGTGAGTAAGTGAGTGAGTGAGTGCGTCAGTGCGTACGTGCGTTCGTATATTATTGTGACGTCAAAAGTTAAGCGAAAAAGTGTAATTTCTTAGCTTGTTTCGCTCCATTTTGGTTTTTTTTCTCATAATGCGCCTAAAAGTAGATAAGCATTATTTATGAAACGTGCAAGTTTCTGCTATTTGAATGTGCAAAATTTATTGAAATTGTAATCAAGTAAATGTTGAATAGCTAGTGAAATTTCTGTGTAAAACAAATTACAATAGAAATAACTGCAGCATCAACGCACACATATACATACATACACACCCGCACATAGAATTTCATTCGACAAAATGGAGCAACCCAGCATATTGGTGCGCATTTTGCACTCAATACCACATGTGAATTACACGTTTCAGCGGGTGAATGACACCTTCAATCCGGACAGCGATGTTTATCTTGAGGTGAGTGGTGGAAATTAAGGCTTCAAAGTATAGTTTATTTTTTTAATTTAATGTACATAATTTCACTTCGTTTTTTTTTAATATTTTTTCTAGAAAAATTACAATATTTTGTCAAATTGTCGACAGTATATTTAAAAAAAATTCGTACATACATGCTTCTTAAAATTTTTATAGATTTTTATTTTTGGTTTTGCACAAATATTGATTTTTTACTTTTTTTATATATAATTAGTTTTTTTATTTTGTTTTATTTTACATTTTATGCGTTTTTGTTACTGACGTTTAGCTAAATTTTATGGTTGCTTAATCTTATTTTACTCTGTTTTATTTAATTTTTTAAGTTAGGCTTTATTTTTTTGGCTTTATAAATTCTATTTTCGAAAAATTTTGGTTTTTTTCATTATACAATTTTTTTCTATCTTTAAATTTTAAATTAAATTTAGTATAAATATCAATTTTAATCTTTTGTTGTTTACTTTAATTAAATGTTTTGGTTTATTAAATTTTTTTATTATTCTTTTTTATTTTATTGTTTCTTTTTTAATTTAATCTATTTTATATTAATTTTAATGCCTTAAAAATCTTTTTTCTAAAAATTATAGTTGTGTTTACAGTTTAATTAATGGTTTCTACCAAAAAATGTGGCCCTTGCACGGTGCAAAATATTTTTGATGTTACATTCAACCCTGTAAAAGGGCCCCTTGTCCAGCTCACACATTTCATAATATTATGCTTTTACGCACCCATTTGATTTTCAGGACAACCATCTCCCCTGACAAAGCTTGAAACGCCAGA